CCCCAAAACCCCAAAACCCCAAAACCCCAAAACCCCTCCTATCACTCAACCCACTGAAATCACCCGAACCCCCTTCAGCCCAACCTCTGTTTCTAAATTACCATAATGAATTAAAGACTCCTCTGCTTTGGAAATACTTGTTCCTTCCTAAACTTAAGAACGAGGCCTTACTGTAAGCATCTTTAGTCTCTTGGTACACCTCCAGTTGTGGCTTTGAGATCACTTGGGTCTGGGAAAAGTCTTGCTTGGGTTTCTCCACCCAGGACCTAGAGGTTAAGAAGGCCTTACTTGTAGTTTATAGCATCTTTGGCCTGGATAGGACGGTATTTCACCTTCTTCTTATGGAAACCTTGGAGCACGTCAACGTCTTGACAACTAGAAGTCCCTAAGAAATTCGCAGTTGTGGATACAGGGATTGATTTAACCTGTGAAGAAGTGAATGTCTTCTTTTGACTATGGGCATAAATGTGATTCTTGGTAGGAAAATTCTTGAAATTTCCCCCGAAATGCTTCTTTGTCGGAAGTTTTGAGCCAGATAAGATCTCTTTAGTAGTATCTGATTTCTTAGAAAGGTCTATAAACATCACTTAGAATACTATACCATGCTTGTATCCATACTTATTTCTGATTGTGTAGAGGTCCATAACTCTCATTGCCAATTGCGGCTCCTGTGACCTTCTTCCTGCCCTGTTTCTTGACATCTTGCTTTTCAAGATGCAAGGAACGGTCTAAGTTCTCTTCGGTGACTCTTCCTCAAAAATGAGGTTTTGAGTTCTATAATCTTACTAGAGGCTTACGTAGAAGTATGAGTTAGTGAAACTCATCTGTTTCCTGAAGCCTAGGTCTGCAGATTTGGTCATCTAGAGTAAGAGGTTATTTTTGTGAAATTTTAGAGGAAGTAACCTCCTTCGAGTCATAGAAACAGCAATAGCTGGGCTAGCAAAGGAGCTGTTGGATAGGCTGTTTAGCGTTGGTTAGAACTTAATATAGGGGTCTGGATGTGAGGCTTGAGATTTTTAAGGAATGGGAATAGATTTTAATGAAAGAGTATTTAGCAATAGATTGTGCCTTTGGAAAAGATAAGTGGTATCTATTATATGTGCTCTAATTCAAATTTCGGTAATTCTAATAAATTTCAAACCCTTTCCAAATAAAAATTATCATTCCACCCTCCTAAACCCTCTAAAAACATTTCTACTCAAAAAAGAATACCCTAACTCCAAAAAGCCCATTTCCCCTCATTCCTATCAAATCTCCCCAAATCCCCAAAATTTCTTCTGCCAGCTCTCTCTTCCCTCCAACCCCCTCTCCTCTCCTCTCTCTTCATCCTTAGTCCATCCTTAGTCCATCCTTACCCCACCATTCTTCTCTTGAAACTTGTTCATCCCCAGTTTTTATTTTATTCTACATAAAAGTTTTCCCTAGGGGTTTTGGGGTTTTGGGGTTTTGGGGTTTTGGGG